GTGTCCATTTTCCTCAAACCTGCAATCTTTCCACTATCGACATTCATATTGTAGCTCACAAACTTAAATGAGTAAATGCTCAACCTGGGATGAGATAAAACTGCAACCTATCATATTTGTAAAAACTCTCCTCCAGTTCACATTCTTCCTTTTCAAATAATAACCCTTCTTTCTGAACCAAGGTAGCACTTTTCAATTCAGGGGTGTGGAAATTTAAAAAAAAAACTACTTGCCCAAGGGCTAAAGCGGGGACCCAATCATCTTGTCCCTCATGACAATCTACTGAGACAGGTGGCGCTGTGATTATAGCACTCTGTCCCTCATGATCACACAGAGCAGAGCGAAGAACTGACGTTCTTCTCTCTGCTCCCCACTCTCCATCCTGAACTCACTTGCTGTGGTCTGGGGACCCCCAGAAGAGTGGGGGACCCCGCAAACCACGGCAAGGAGGGAGGGGGACAGGTGACAGACAGGATGGTACAAGTGATCTGATTAGATCACTTGTATGAAACGTGCATCGCCTCCCCGCTGTACATTCAGCCCTGCTTGCCTGAAGCAGGGCTAAATGTACAACAAAAAACTACCCTCCCGGCGCCCGGAACTGCATGCCCCGGGCGTTGGGCGATAGGAATTCCACAACCCTGACCCAATGCTTGCTAGTGTTGCCAGAGGAAAAAGGGAACTATAATCCACATATGATTTCACACAAAACAGTAAAAATTATATAGAAAATCAGTTTAAGGGCTTGTTCACACCGTGTCCAGACTGGAACAGTTTGTTACCGGACCAAAAAAGCTTCCCAATGTATCCCCATGGTATTTCTGGGCTCTGTTCCCACCAGCGCAGCCCGTTTTGGTCCAGAGTAGGAAAATACTGCTCGTCTCATTCTCTCTGGTCTGGAATGCACTGGAACGCATCAAAAACACATACAAACAGGTGCGCACTGGAACGCACCTGTAAGCCCATTTTAAGCTAAAAAAAAAAAAAAGGACATGACAAAATGCATTGCATTGCGTTCCAGATCTGGTCCGGAAAATGGTGTGAACCTGGCCTTCTTGTAAACGTTAGATAAAATTGACCAAAAACCATGAAAGTTTCTATTTAGCCTCCAGCCTATACTCTTTAGCTGGGACGGGTGGTCAGGTCAGGTGAGGTCTGTATCCCATAACTTAGATGAAAAGTCAGGTGAACTCTGTATCCCATAGCTGGCATGGAAGGTAAGGTCAGGGGCAGATCCAGGGGGAAAGGGTGGCAAAAGCAAGCAGTAGATCTATGCAAAAAGTTGTAAAAAAAAACATTGGGACTTAAATGTTTTGGGAGGGGGATTAAAGAGAATAGAGAATACCCCCTTTCTGCTTACCTATATGACCTGTCCAGTGTTTCTTAGGTTTGTCCCTCTCAACCGGGGCCAAAAAGCAGGTCACCTGAAAAAAAAGGTAAGTTACACAAATGAAGCTTAGAAGCAGAGTCCCTTCCCCAGCTTTTTAACCACAGAACCCAGCGAGAATTATAAGAGCCAAAGATCTTGCAGACATTCTAACGAAGTCAGCAGAAGCATCTTCTATAAACAGCAAAGGGATAAAATCTAATAATTGCTCTCTAGGGGTACCTGCCACCAGGTGAGCTTTTAACTGAGAAAGCCAGAACTCCAGATTCCTAGCCACACAGGTAGTCGCTAAGGATAGCCTCTAATTAGAAAGCCTTTAAATACAAAGCTCTCTTGTGTAGACTATCTATTTTCTTATCCATAGGGTCTTTTGGGATTTCCATATCCTCAAGGCTAAATCAGACCTCTTAAAGACCTTAGCAAGCGGGGCATCTAACTTAGGACTTTTATTCCAAAAAAAGTTATATGGTGGGCTGTGTGGAGTCTCACGTGGGCTGTGCTGACCCTCAGGTGGCTATGCGGGGTTTATGGTGGTCTGTGCGGGAGATATGCTGGGCTGTGCAGACTCTCAGGTGGCTGTGCAGGTTCTATGGTGGGCTGTGCAGACTCTCAGATGGATATGTGGGGGTCTATGGTGGGCTGTACGGACACTTAAGATGGTAATGCGGGTCTATAGTGGGCTGTGCGAACTCACAGATGGCTATGCAGGGTCTATGCTGGGCTGTGCATGCTCTTACCAGGGTCTCTTTCGGGCTTGGTGGGTGCAGGCAGCTGAGGAGGTTTTCAGAGAAAGGCCGCTGGGACCTCAGCAGCCTTCCTATGAAGCCCAGCACCTGTTTAAAGCTCCAACTTCAGTTTAAAAATTTGAAGTGCCGTTATGGGCGCTTAGTATCAGGGCATTTTCACGAGTACTCCCAGCACCAATACTGGTATCTTTGCATACCTATTATCAACTTTCCACACTCACCCCTATATGCAACATCTGGATTTCACGCATTGGCAAAATGTTGATAGTGTGTTATATTTCTTCATAAATTAGTCAATAAGGGGTCTTCAGTCACCCAAAGCCCCTGTTCACACCTGAGCCTTTTGCCGTATGAAGTTTCCCATTAAAGTCTATAGGACCAAAAAGCTCAGTAATCTGCCAAAAAGCAGCTTATCTATTCTTTCCAGCGACAGGCGTTTTTCTGCTTGCGAAAAAATGCTCAGGTGTGAACATGGGCCACAGAAATGAACGGATTCCTTGTATTGAGCGTTTTGTTGTAAGCTATAAATGACAAAATGCTTAGACCTGGTTCACACTAAAGGTGCCCATACATTGTATGATTATTGTATGAGAATCGCGTAAATCCCGCGATCATACGATAATCGCAAAGTGTATGGAAGGTGTGCAACCGTTTCTACTGTATGGTCGCATGTTTTCCGTCGAACAAGCAGGCTTGAAAACCCGCCGAGAATCGTACGATTCTCTGCGAGTTAGTGGCCTGCTCGTTCGGTAACTGCCGAACGGGGCGGTGTGCGCACGCGCACACTGCCCGTTTGCAGTCATCGGAAGCCCGCCCCTCAGGGGGGCAGGCTTGCGATGATCGCAAGTACGATCCAAAATGGGCAGATCGTACAAGCTTTTAATTAGCTTACAACCATCACATAACGAAAGTCTTGCGATGGTTGCTTGTAAGGTGTATTGGCACCTTAAGCGTATTGTCAAAGCTGATTCAGTGCAATAAAAAGCTTCACCAAGTCCCATTCATTCTTATGGGCCCTGTGCGCACCGGAGTGTTTTGTCACAACAAGCCTGTCACTGGAAAAAGTACATGAGCTTCTTTGGGGCAGATCTCAGCTAGTTTTGGTCCCATAGACTTAATTGGAAACGCTTGAAAACGTGCATTGAAATTAGTTTTTTGCGTTTTGTCCATTTACTTCAATGTGTCATAATCTGCTCTTAAAAAGCGTGTTTCTAATATATGCATGTAAATGCACGAAAATGTGCAGAAAAAAATGCTTAGGTGTGAACATGGACTAATCATATCATCTACAATTACATGCAGACTGCCGATGACAAATGTGGCCGCTGTCAGCATATCATTATCTTGAACAGGCACAGCGTCTGCATCTGTATGGACACACCTGGGATTCCTGCCGCAAGATTCCCCAGCCTAAGGACTTGTTCACACCGAATGCAGTGTGTTCCAGAGCGGTAGCTGCTGGAACGCACCGCAATCCCTCACAAAACTTCCCCCAGCGTTCTGGGTTTAGGACTGGGGCATGGCGATTCATTGACAACTTTGCTTGCGTTCCATTCCTCGCAAACGCAAAAAATAGAGCAAGCAGCATTTTTTGCATTTGAATGGAACGGAACGCAGGCAGTTTGGCCACACGTCCGATTGCACTGCGGGCGTGGAAGCTGTGCCATTGAATTCAATGCGGCGCCGTGCCCCCTCCCGCCCCAAAATGCAGGGGGAAGTTTTGTGAGCGATTGCGGTACGTTCCAGCAACTACCTCTCTGAGTAGCCACACCAGACACAGTGCTTTCCGGCCCAATTCGTACAGCGCTTGCAGCATTTTGTTCGGACCGGACCGTCGGCATAATGTGCCTTGCGTTCACGTGCGGCCAATCGCATTAAGGCAGGAGGGCGTGGCTACGGTGCCATTCATTTCAATAGACCACCACATCCCCTCCTGCCCCACAACATAGTGAGCCGGCCGCGATGCAGTGCGTTCTGGCCAGAATCGGGCTGGAACGCACTGTATCTGGTATGAACGAGACCTAAAACCAAGTGTGAATAGGACCTAACAACCAGTTCCTAGCATCTATCTTTCCATTGGTTAAAATAAAAATGCTGAAGCCTGAACACACCTGAAAAGATGTGCAAAAAAATAGACAACTCTGTAAAATGCTCATACTAAGGTGTGAATAGAGCAACTTCAGGCATAATTGCCCCTTTGGCCCCATAGACTTCTACAGAAGCGCGTGAAAAAAAATGCGCAATAAAAAGCTTCAAAATCACCTAAAAATGCTAAAAGGGTGATTGGGGGCTGAGTTTACACACACTGCGCGTGAATGGGGGCTGGGGATACACACACACACGTCCAGCACAGGTTTCCTTTAAACACTACAGCAGACAGCTGCTGTGAACCGTGACGTGTGTGGAGGCTTGGCTGAGGTCGACTTGTTATCAATGGTGGCTTGCTGTAAGGTTGTCTTGTACGGTGTGTGGAGCAAATTGCGGCACTGCCATTATACACCACCTCATGATAGCCCTTTAGAAATGACGCGCTTTACCACAGCTCAGAGCAGCCTCTAATTATATAAGCTGCAGCCGCTTGTATATTCAGGGACTTCACTGTAACGACCGCCATACCACAGTACTGTTAGCCCGCAGCCGCTATGCCTCCTTCATCTATAATTCACACTCATCCATGTTGGAGACAAAAAAAAAAAAGGGTAGGGACATCAGGCAGAGACATCCATCCCGGGCACCAAGGCAACCAGGACCTCCCCCCCCTGTTTAACAAGGAATACAGGCGGCGCCTTTTCATTGGCTTTCTTGGAGCTCCAATCGTATCCCTCCGTTTCCACCGAGGGGGCAGGGGATGGTGCTGTGTAGTCACGCCCACCACCACTTTGCAACTGCCAATCAAGTGACGTCAGCGTGTGCTCTGCAGGTGCAGGGAGAAAGCTGCTGCATTGGTGCAATAGGAGCCGAACGAATACTGAGGGGTAAGACTTGACGCTTATCGTTCTTTATGTTTTCACCGTGTGCTAACGTGGAAATAGGGATCTCCAGGACGAATCGTTAAGGAGCAGGTAGCGTCGGCTTGCTTTAGTGCAGTCATGTATGCCGATGCCTGCACGGATGCGCGATCTAACCTTCATTTGTCATGGAAGGATGCTGGTTGCGTTTTGCTCCTAAGCTTTTCGCATTGGAAATCCATGGGCTGCTTGGGATGGGGCATGATATGCTTGTATCTCCATCAGCGATGGTTGCCAGCTCTGCATTAAATCCTTTGCTGTCCCTATTCCCTTATCATTATTCCTAGCTCTGTATGATTGGGGGCAGTAATCATCTGGCATCCATATAAGTAGATCCTTTCTGCCAGTGGATTGCTGGATTTCATGGCTTGGGAGGAAGGGATCTGCTGGGTGTCCACAGCCAATTTGGTGCATGTCATTGATGGGCTTTCATTGTCTCCATTTCTGTTATTCAAGGTTGTATGATATTTGATAGCACCAGTTCTATTTTAAACATAGGTGTTAAAATGAAGATGCTGAATAATTCATGTGCTTCATTTAATAAGCAATGCATTTTTTTCCAAGATTATTTTACACTTGGCTTCTTTTTAATTTTTTTTTTTTTTTGGTGGGGGTGGGGATCATTTCTTTATTGCTGCTATTCTGACTATGGTAGGTTCATATAGACGTCAAGCAATGTCATTTGGAGCTAGGAAAGCCAGGTGATCCAGGCTTCATTGACTTTTCACATTTGCTTTCCATGTAAATACAATACACCCAAGTCCATTAATTAAAATAATTCACGCGCTTGCATGTTTTTGTTATTAAAAAAAAGAAAGTGTAGGTTGGGTAGCTCAGTTGCTTATAATTTTAAACATTTTTGGAACATCAGAGAATATGCATTGGTTATTGAGAACTTATATTTATATTTATGTTATATTCTGTGCACATTCAGAATAGGCAGCTATAGCCCACTACTTAAATGGGATGTGTGTCCATTGAATATTGAAGGCACTTGCCAAGTCTATTTAAATCTAATCTTTGTTCATTCATGGTCTTCATCCTAGAAGAATAACCATATGCTTCTGTGCTGTGCCGTTTCCAATAAAAATAATTCATGTGGATTGTGTCCATTGCAATTTTAAGGCATGCTCATCCAGTATAATTAACATTATCTAATCTTTGCTCATTGGTGGTCATCATCGTATAAGAATAACCATTTGTATGTGCTGTGCCATTTAGCATAAACATAACTGATTAAGTATATTCCATATATTCTTATTTTTGGCTCATTGGTGGTCATCACCCTATAAGAATAAACGCATACATGTGTCGTTTCAGATATAAAAATAATTTATGTGGAATGGGCTTTGGAAGAATCATTAAAAATGGCACATAAGGGAGGGACGTGGTATTTAAAAAAAAAAAAAAGACAATACTGTTCTCTATAATAAGATAGGCCATGCCGTAATCCTTTTTTATCGTGCAGACAATTTCAGCTATACCTCTAGCCCTGCAGGTTCTTCCGCTTGGCATTCACAGTCTGCACTTTTCTTAGCAGGAAAACATGCCGAATTGTAATTTGCTATGGCTCAATGTCCCTCTTCCACTGCAGTAATGGCTGAAAACGATTCCAGATCAGCTTTTTGGTGATATCCAGTAGTTTCTCCTCCATTTAACAAGCAGGGGTTGGTTGTCTTTGGCTCAGCTCTGCATTGTAGCCTCGTAATATACTGTAGGGTATCTTGCCTGTACACAATGTGGCCCATTTAAAGCTGCTTGCTGCCCAAATTTGCTATATTTCTCTGTGCCCTCTCTTGAATAGAAGTGGATGATTTCATTTTGTAGAGACTGTGCATGTAGCTCTGCTTTGTTTTTAACTCTTGCAGTGAGGTTACCCCTGCACTGCAAGGGTTAAGTGCTCATTTGTGTAAGTTAAAAAAATAAATTAATAAAATAATTATACTCACCCGATGCTCTGAGCCGGCTTCTTCTTAGTCCGGACCTTCTAGCCTCTTTCCCCCTCTGCTGCAGCGGTCTAAGGTCCCATAAATCATCATGTCTATACACTGCGTATAGACGTGAGGACGATGAGGAAGATTCCAATGCAGCGGAGCAGGAGAGAGGCTGGAAGGAGCACTGTGACAGCTGGCCAGCTAGAAGCTTCTGGTGAGTATATCTTTGTTATTTTTCTTCCTAGACAAAAACGAGCACCTAACCCTTGCAGTGCAGGGGTAGCCCCTCTCTGCAAGTGTTAATATAAAGTACAAGATTGAAGAAATAGGTCACCAGCACTCCATAAGTTAAAATGAATGAGTCCTTTTAATGGACAATGATGTCACAGAAATCCAAATATAAAGTACAACGTTTTTCCTTAAATCCAATAATGCAGAGGTAAGCACCCTTGGCACTCCAGCTGTTGTCTCATGATGCACTGCACACCTTTGGTTGCCACAGGCATAATCAAATTTTTAGTTTAACCACAGGGGTAGGCAACCTTGGTAATAATGTATGCTTCCCTTATTTTGCAATTGCCTGCTTGGCACCTTTTGAGAGTAACCTTTTCACTGCTGGGCGCAGGTTATTTAGACATTAGCATTGTTTGATACAGGGTTGAAACCAACGAATTGATTGATAATGAGAATCGTTGTCAACGATTCTCATTATCGATTAGTTGGACTGGGTCTCCTAGTTCTCTCTCAGCGTTGGGAGACTGTGTATCTTCAGCTCTGTGTTCCCTCCGATTGAGGAGATACAGACCCCTGCAGCTGGTGCCCAACGTTGAGGAAAGCTCCACCAAACCGCCCCCCCCCCCCCTCGGCTCTGCCGCTTTCTGGGAGCCCTCTGAAATGTTGCGGTCTGTGTCCCCTCCAATCCCCGCTGCTCTCCCCTGCCTGTATCGGCAGAGGCATCGGGGATTGGAGGGAACAGAGAGGCGATCCACCTACCGGCACCCAGCGGGAAGGAAAAAGGGCGGTGCGGGAAGGAGAGCTGCATAACAATTAGGAAATATGTGAAATATTTGCTGATCGTTCCCTGTAATAGTCAAACATTGCAGTGATCAGTAGTGATCACTACGATGTTATAAATAATTGAGGACATAGTATTTAGATACTGGGTCCCCAATTATGAATGAACAGGAAGTGCTTTACACCACTTCCTGTTCATTTTATGATTGTGGATATAGTATCTGTTTAATATCTCCTATATGAAGGAACAGGAAGCCTCTGTACTGAGTGCCTCCAGTTCATTGAGTGCTGGGGCTGCAGGAAAAGAGATTTCTTTTTTTAAGATCAAAAAGTTTACCGCTGCCATTTATTTCAGTGACACCCTAAACGCGCCCCCTACCCACAGTGTAGTCCAGCCGCACCAGAACATGTGGTGCCGCAATGCCATGCTTTCCATGCGGTGCAATTGCAAAAAATTGTGCATGCAGTTTTATTAAACTTTATATTTGTAACACTCCCTTTTGTGTATTTTATTTTAAATTAGGGATGCTATCTATTTTTTTTTTATCCAATTAATCGAAAAAATAATCAGGCAACTAATCGATTATGAAAATAATTGTTAGTTGCAGCCCTAGTTTTATACTATATGTGCCTTAATAGTTAACAATCCTTATTCAAAAACATTGCTTATTATTATTATTATTTCCTTTCCTCTGCCATTCTTATATACCAGGATTTGAAGCATTTTACAATGTGGCCACGTTTCCTCTTATAATTCAGTGCAGTTTGCCTCCTCTGCTCCTGTTTTATTCCAGCAGCATCATATGGCACTATGGTATAGACTTTTAAATGGTTGCTTTCTGCTTTGCTTCAACTGTGCTGCCAGACTTATGTGGAGTAAAGGTACATCCACAATAAAGCTGAACTCTGGAAATTAAAGACGCTAATTATTGCAGCTCGTTATTACATGATATGCAGTTTTAAAAGCGAGCAGTGTGACTACCTGAATTCGATCTGTCCCTGTACAGCAGGGTTGAAGTGAGAGAGGAAGAAGCAGCACAAGGAGCCAATCAGTTCATGGGCTTCAAATCACCTCATTCTCCAGTGTTGCTTTGTTAATTAAAGAGCCACTTCTGGGCTTGCTTCTATTTTCCCAGCAGTGCCCCTTCTAATATGTAATGGAGGAGAGACTTGAATGAAGTGATTTCAAGCCTCACCTCCATGGGGGATCAGGAGAGGTGCCGCCGCAGCAGCAGGAGCACAGAAGCGGGTCTAAAGACACTCATGCGCCACGGAGGTGAGGCTAGAAACTGCCTCATTAAAGCCCCTCCTATGTGGCTCAACTGGGCCTTTCTGAATGCTGCGGAGAAGAAAGGAGGCTTAAAATAGCCTCAAAATGCCCCTCTCTTGATGTGTGGAAACACACCTTCAACCCTGCTGATCGCTATACATGGAGATATGCACATGGTGTAGATCAGTGGTTCTCAACCTGTATAACCTCAGGACACAAATTTGTCTTTGGCCATTAAGTCGTGACCCAAGTCGCACCACACTGAAACGCACGGCATTGCGGAACTGCATGTTCCAGTTCAAGCGATCAAACTGTGGGCAGGAGGTGTGTTTTGGGATGCCATTTAAATGAATGGCAACGCAATGCACCTCGCGCACCAGAACAAACAGTAGGTGCGATTGCATGGTAGTTTGTGATTAAAACACTGACACACACACACAACCACAGACACAATCTCACACGCCCCAAAAATGTTTGGGGGTTCAGTGTGGGCTGCTGTAACGGAGCTCCATCTATAGGTACATTGCTTGTATAGCTTCCTTGCAGTCCCTCTAGAGGTACCGGGAGTCAGAATGGGATGTCACTCCGGTCACGCATTGCTGTAAGCAATGCATGTGTGGATGGAGCTCCCTCCCGGCCACACCCCCAGCCCATCCCATCTCAATCTGACGATTGGCACCAGGCAGCATATTTTGAATTGCTGCGTGGCACGAGAACTTACAGTGCTGGGCTATACACCTAGTGCACTTGAGGCATGTGGCAACCCACTGAACATGGGGTCACAACACATTTTTGGGTTACAACCCACCAGTTGAGAACATTGAGTGTAGATGACACTCAGAAAGGGTTTTCATAGGTGAGATCACATACGGTTCAGTATTAAAGAACGCAGCGCTCAAAAGTAAAGAACGCCGAGCACGGTAGTAACGCATTACAATACAAAATTTATTTCTATAAAGAAAATATTTTTTCTCTCCACTGTCATATTGTTCCTCAAAACATATTTGCCTCATGCAGTTTAATATGCTATCAATGATTTGTTTACAGGAACGTGTGTAATGCAATGAATTGTTAAATATTTCACTCACCACTTTGATACATTTAGGGTTAGGATCACAGGTCATTTGCTTTGCTTTTTGGCCTGCTGAGTTTTGCTAATGCGCCACAGGGGTTCACTTTGGGTGGGGGAGCATTCACAAACTCCCTGCGCCCCAGCCCTTCATCTTCCTCCTGTGCCATATCCTGTTTGCCTCCCTCAGATCCCGGTACCACTGCTGGCTGCTGTGGGGGTGGCTATATGAGCGGAGCAGGCTGTCTCCTGTCGTGTTTTTGTGTGTGCACGTGCAGAAGCTGAGTTCTGAACTGGGGGAGTGGCGGAATGCCAGGGTCCGGTCGATGTGATTCTGGTAGTTCGCCTGTTCTAGGAGTAGAGGCCATGGGCAGCGCTAGAGTGATCATTCTGCCTTTCACTGTTAGACCGAAGGCAGGTAATCCATGTAGCAACGGAAGTTCAGCGCCTGGATCAGCATCAGTGAAGGGATGATTTTTACAGTAAGCAGCAGCCAGTGGTCCATATGATAGTCTTCTTTAGAGGTAAGTTATGTCCCTGCCGCTTTATGCCCCAAAACATTTTTAACTAAACTTCAACTTGAAGGACGCTGAGTTACTGGCAGATAGTATGTGAGGTCTTGGAGTTGTCAGGAACTTTCAGAATGCTGACTCTCCAGCTGAAAGAGTCAGACTGAGACAATGTGAAGGGTTAGATAGATCTAAATTAGAGGTGCACTGACATGAAAATTTCAAAAACGAAACCGACATGAAAAAAAATGTCAGGCCGAAACCGAAAATGTTTTTTATTCTAACTTTTTAAAAAAATGTTTAAATTTTTAATAAACTAGTTTTTTTTATTCATTTTTGTTATATAATTTTTTACTTTACTTTTAGGGGCTTCTGGGAAATATTAGGGGTCTAAATAGACCCCTGATATTTCCCTTTTAAAATAGAAAAAGAGATTGAGGACACAAAGTCCCCAATCTCTTTTTCTGCATCCTCTGTTATACATAAACAGGAGTCCTCTATACTGAGTGTTCCTGTTCATTCATAACTTGTGGAGATAGTATGTTTGGAAACTGCCCCCCCGCCCGTACTGCTCCCTGCACTATTTTTGCAGCGCTGATCAGTGCAGTTTCCATAAAGTTTTCTGTGGAACCGCGCCAATCAGCGCGGTTTTGGGCATTTCAACGCTGAAACGCAGTTAAGAACTTCCCAAAACTCCCTTTTGAGATCAGCGTGGTAACCGTGTTGATCTGCAACCTCCCTGGTGTGAATGGGCTCTAAAGGAGGATTATGGGGTGAGAGAAAAGCACATCCCCCCCCATAATTCAAGCTGACCTGTGACAAAGAAGCTGTCACAGGTTGGTTCTATTGATCGGGAAGCCAGCAAGCACACACCGTCGATCGCTGACTTCCCAATCCTCTCCCTGCAGAGAGAGGTGACTGTCAGTCACTGCTCCACAAGGCATTCCTCCTTTCCCCTCTCCATTTCTCCAGCGCCGACTGGAGGGACAGATGGTAAGGGGGCGGTCACAGCCGGCTCTGCCACTAAAGAGGGTGGATCTCGACAGTATTGTTGGGATCCATCCCAGTTGTGGAGTGGCACTGCACTCTAAGCATATAGCGGGCAATAGCCTGCTATATACTGGAGTTTTGGGCGACCACAGGACACAGTATATGTCCTCCCATGACCCTGAGAACTATGGACAAAAAAGGTTGCCCCATAGTTCTCCTTTAACACAGGACTGGACTAATCCCAGAAACCAGGTATTCAATGCTTCTTTAAAAATTACAGCTGACGCCTAAATTTCAAGGTTTTCTCTTGTTGTTGTCAATGGGGCTGCCTAAAAAAAAATCCTTCTGGCTCCTGGTTTCCAAATTAATTTGTCCGCGCCTGAAGTAAGATCTTTGTCCAACCGGGATGATTACAGTCAGACCAGGAAAAAGTTGTGGGTCTCTGACCTCTGCAGACACCCCTAAGTGACCGATATCAGAGGTGGATGTTGGCCAAACTGCTAAATACACAGATGACGTAAATACTGGTAAATTCCCTGCTAGATTATTTGCATTTGTGTCCATCCAGTGCTGAGATTTATAGGACCCATTGAACAGCCAGGTGGATGAAACCACTTATAGTTAAGTTTTATATAATGGTGTGTTTACTGAACCCCCATCCTGTGACTGGAAAGTAACAGGACAGCCATGACTGTGACAACACAGGAGTACAACTGTGGGACACATGTTTGTTACCTTGTAACAGGAAGTGGCAGAACAAGAACCTTCTTAGCAGGATCACCAGGAAGTACTACAATTAAACTGCAGATTAAAAAATTAGTTTAAAATTACATTATCATGTCAAAGCTCATATGAGATTTTAGTGATTAGGCCTATACTTTAAAGAAGAACTCTGGACATGAGTCAGAGGACTTTAGACCGCTGGATCGTTGGTGAAGACAGGCTAGAAAGACTGGCCTAACAGCCGAGTCGGCTGCGATGATCGGGCGTGTACAACCTTCTTTTTTTTTTTACATAATTCAAGTTTATAAAAATAAAAAGTACAAGCAAGAAGAAAGTACAGGATCGTGAGTGGGTCGCCACGTCCATTTCTGCTGCGCTGGGTGAGAGCCTCCTCCGCCTCCTACTTGCGCAGCAGCGGGAGGACAGCAACGGCTGTGAATATAAAAGTGCCGCTGTACACACTCCCTGGCCGCTGCATTGACATCTAGTAGCCAGGGAGTGTTTACAGCAGGACTTTTCTGCCTCCCGTACAGTGCAGGCTCTACAGGAAGCGGGCATCTTAGCAGTGCTGGGGCTGAGAAAGCTGCATGGAGACAGAGCAGGTAGCAGGGGCAGGGGAGGGCTTGCATTCTTGTGAGTGTGCTTCTATTTTTATTTCTGAGTCCAGTGCCTTACTAAGTCCCGAGTCCAGTGCCTTACTAAGTCCCGAGTCCAGTGCCTTACTAAGTCCCGAGTCCAGTGCCTTACTAAGTCCCGGGTACAGTGCCCAGTGCCTTACTAAGTCCCGGGTCCAGTGCCTTACTAGGTCCCGGGTCCAGTGCCTTACTAAGTCCCGGGTCCAGTGCCTTACTAAGTCCCGGGTCCAGTGCTCTGTTGGGGGGTCACCACAACTTGGCAAATGTTACCAAGGGGTCCCGGCCCTAGAAAGGTTGAGAACCATTGCTGTAGAACATCTACGATATCACAGTAGCATACCTCAAGGGTGTGTACAGTTTTTTTATTTCTGCACCTAGACGAAAATGAGCACCTAACCCTTTCAGTGTGGAGGTAGCCTCACTGCAAAGGTTAAGAAAATTTTTGCACAGAGTTCTTCATTAAGGAGAGTACGTTGGACTATTTGTTGGGCAAAGAAGGTCAGTATGGCATATTGGGTTGAAGGTAGGGAGTGGACCACAGACTAACAAGCAAAAGAAAGGTAGAAAGTATGATGTATCCATTTATTGAGCATTGGGCTAGTGAATTGTTAATAGAATGAAATAGTTGTATGTTTGGATATTTGAATATTGGTGAGTTTTGTAAGGTTAACATTGGTGTTCTTGCAACATCCCACAAGCTGGCACTTGAGTGATTAAGGACGGGCTATCATTGTACTGATATATTCGGGTATCCAGGTAATTCCTAAAGGTGCCCATACACCTTATGATTATCGGGCGAAACGTTTCGTCCGATGATCGAATAACCGTACGATTTTCGTACGGAAGCCCCATCCTGCCCCGATGATCGCAATATTAATTTAGCCGTAATTAACGAAAAGCACCTGGACGAAATGCATCTTTGTACAGATGGCATCAGCTACAGACTCCCGTTATGGGCAAAAAGAATCCTCGGACCAGAACTTTGATTACATGTTCAAGATCTTAATTATTGGGAATAGCAGCGTGGGTAAAACCTCCTTCCTCTTCAGATATGCAGACGACTCATTCACCCCAGCATTTGTCAGCACGGTGGGAATAGACTTCAAAGTCAAAACCATCTACAGGAATGATAAAAGAATCAAGCTGCAGATCTGGGTAAGTGTGTAATTAACCAAGAATCATCTGTATTTGGTTATCCCGCCCATTTAATGTTTTTCTGCAGTGTCTCGCTTTACATTTTGTAGTATCACATTATTAGATTTACAACACCACATTCCTCTTAATATACAGTGCTAACACTACACACACACATGGGGTTTTTAAGGTGCTCGAGATGTTATAAAAACAAAATCATTTTCTTCATTCGTCATAGAAAATATTAAATTAAGTTCTCAAACAATATTGCAATAGATTTCCAAATGTAATTTACAGCATATCAATCCATATGTTTACCCAAAATGTATTAGAGTGCATTGCTTCTTATTGCTTATTCTGTTGAAAAACAAACTAATTTCCAGAATATGCTTTTAGTAGGTTGTAGAGGAGTGGTTAATTTGATGTGTTTTGTAGAACAAACTCTATTTCCTCAGAGTATATGGAAAGAATGAATAATATGACATTGCATATTATTGTAGGGTCATTGTCGTGTAGTAAAGTGAACCTCTGCCATAGTCTTATGCAGACATCCCAACTCTCCCAGGCGCTCCGGGAGTCTCCCGCTATTAGATAGCGGCTCACGACCGCCCGGGAGAGAAACATTTTCTCCCAGCAAGGTTTACTCTGCTCGATCTAGCAGAGTAAACCTTTCCCTGTGATCTGTGGTTTTTTGTTTTTTTTTCTCTGACATCGGGGCCGCCATCAGAGAAAAAAGAAAACGGCATAAGAATGCATAGCCAGATTGCTATTGGCTATTTTACTTTGCAACAACCAACAGCAGACTAGCTATTGCACCCGCCCACTGCTGCTGTCAATCAGCATAGGGGGACCTGAAGTTCTCTATCAGGTCCTCTTCTAGTGATTGACAGCAGTAGAGGGCGAGTGCAATAGCCAGCTTGCTATTGGATATTGCAAATTGAAATAGCCAATAGCAATCTAGCTATGCATTCCTATGCTGTTTTTTTTGTTTGTTTTCTTTAATTTTGACAGCAGCAGCAGTTTTTCTCTTGAATTCACCTGCACTTTGCTCCAGTCATCTTGTGCTCAAACCTGACCACGTTTCTAGTCCCTGGAAATTAAAAGTTACCCTCCACAACGTTATGCTAACACTACCATGTTTCATCATTTGGTTGGTGTTCTCAAGGTGATGAGCAATGTACGCCTTGTACGAGATGTGCTTACATAGTTGCATAGTATTTGAGGTTGAATAAAGACATAAGTCCATCAAGTCCAACCTATTGTGTGTGTCCATGAGTGGACCTATACTGCTTAGGGCAGAAAGTTCAAGTTGGTCCTTATAAAACCAGAGAACCCTTTTCTACATGTGTGATGAATGCCAGAAGGCTCATGACAGACATGTCAAACAGATTTTTTTAAGCAATCTATTTTCTCCTCACCCTTTTAAACTCCACTTTATGTAGCATCTCGGTTGTACTTGTCCTATGAACTGATTCTCCCAGCTCAGCTGTGGGCCTCTGCATCTCCTTTTAGAGTTACCATTGAACTTGCCTAATCTTCTCACTGCTGAATCAATATTTCCAGTTTTCACACACACAAAGTTTGTGGCTTGAAACCCCCCAAACTATTTATCCTTTCTGAAATCATAAGACATGTAAAATAAAGATCAATATTTTCTTTAAAAATACACAAATTAGTTTTAATGCACACAAATTAATTATCATTTCCATGTATTGTGAAATAAAAGATGAGACTGTGTAGGGTAATTAAATACAAAATATGTCAAGCCTGAAAATTGCACATCAGTGAAATACTGATACCTAAAATTGTACATTGGTGATGCATTAAAAACCTTTTACAAATCATCAGTTTAGAGTTAACCATTAATGATGGCCCTGTTATTCTTCCTCTCACTCTGCACAGGGATGATACCTATGTGTTGAGCAATTGGTGTTTGGTCCTAGGGCTCCAACAGGAGGCAAATGAGCCTTGGAACCATGGGGTTGGGAGGAGGGGGCACCCCACTGTGTAGAGTATGTGGAAGTAATTTGGTGACTGTAAAGACATCACTTGTGCTATATGAAGCAGGGCTGGCTGTTCTTTGCAGCCCTGAGCTAGCATTAACCCATTAACTGCCATGATGTGTAAGATTTGTCTTTGAAAGGGTCATTGTTTTTATCCAAACACTGAATTTTGGTGAACAGTATTCGCTAATCAGAGGCATGGTTGCATCATAGTGATGTTTAGAGTACATCAGACACACTGCCCATCAGACTGGTAAGTGTTTGTGAAATACATCCCAGGATTCGCTATGTTCATCACCTCCATGGCCACAGGTGTATAAAATCAAGCCACTACGCATGCAGACTGCTTCTACAAACATTTCTGAAACAATGGGTCGCTCTCAGGAGCTCAATGAATTCAAGCGCGGTACCGTGATAGGTTGCCACCTGTGCAATAAGTCCATCCGTAAAATTTCCTTGCTACTAAATATTCCATGGTCAACTGTTAGTGGTATTAAAACAAAGTGGAAGCGGCTGTGAACAACAGCAACTCAGCCACAAAGTGGTAGGCCACATAAAATGACAGAGCGTGTGCAGTGTGCAGAAGTCGCCAACTGTCTGCAGAGTCAATAGCTACAGACCTCCAAACTTTCTGTGGCCTTCAGATTGGCACAACAACAGTGCATAGAGAACTTCAGGGAATGGGTTTCCATAGCCGAGCAGCTGCATCCAAGCCTTACATCACCAAATGCAGTGGTATGAAGCATGCCGCCACTGGACTCTAAAGAATTGGAGACGTGTTCTCTGAAGTGACGAATCACACTTCTCTGTCAATCCAATGGACGTGTCTGGGTTTGCCGGTTGCCAGGAGAACGGTACTTGTCTGACTGCATTGTGCCAGGTTTCAAGTTTGGTGGAGGGGGGGGTTATGGTGTGTGGATGTTTTTCAGGGATTGGGCTTGGCCCCTTAGTTCCAGTGAAGGGAACTCTTAAGGCATCAGCATACCAAGACATTTTGGACCATTTCATGCTCCCAACTTTGTGGGAACAGTTTGGGGATGGCTCCTTCCTGCTCCAACATGACTGCGCACCAGTGCACAAAGCAAAGTCCATAAAGACATGGATGAGCGAGCTTGGGGTGGAGGGACTTGACTGGCCTGCACAGAGTCCTGACCTTAACCCGATAGAACACCTTTGGGATGAATTAGAGCAGAGACTGCGAGCCAGGTCTTCTTGTCCAACATCAGTATCTGACCTCACAAACGCGCTTCTGGAAGAATGGTCAAACATTCCCATAGACACACTCCGAAACCTTGTGGACAGCCTTCCCAGAAGAGTTGAAGCTGTTATAGCAGCAAAGGGTAGGCCAACCCAATATTGAACCCTACAGTCTAGGACTGGGATGCTATTAAAGTTCATGTGCGTGTAAAAGCAGGTGTCCCAATACTTTTGGCAATATAGTGTATATATGTAAATAGTGTTCAATTCTGTCATTCACACTTTGATACTCGTAATTATGGGTTTCCTTTACCAGCAACACTGTTGTTTTACCCTGTGCTTGAGAACTCCAGCCAGAATGGTTGTCTAGTTTTTGGTAGAGCGGTGAAGGTTTGCAACCTCAGGTGTTAGGTTTTTTTATTGATGTCTGTGTCCCTGATGGGTAAAATGACTCACTCTGATTTTTTTAAATCTTGGTGCCTATTCTTTTCTGGACAGAAAGTGTAACATTTTACAATTGTCACTGAAATGAGAGAAGCTTAGTAGCTGCTACTAAATAGGAAGTGGCAGCATGCAATATAGGACCAGCAGTTTCGGGACAATTCATCCAGTGCCCAGGATTAAGATGCTAAATTGTTCTTCCTTTCCTACCAGGTTTATTATGCATGAGTTGATGTCTTTTCAAGACAAGAAAATATTTCAAACAAGCCCATTTCTGGACTGTGACACACCTCAATGCCTACAAATTCCAATATTGCTGTAATTTTTACTGCAAAGCACACTGAAGAGAAAATTGGAGTAGCCCCATCGTTGCAGTAATAGTAACTCCCAGCATTGGTGTCATTTTATCATATGCTCCGTTTACTTTGTAGTAGGGATTATTTTAGAAATGGCCTGATGAAATTATAAAGTAGGCAATAACAATCTTTTGGAAAAATTATCAGTTTATTGCGTGAACCAGTTTGATTGCATGTTACTGCTGTGAATTTTTTTTTTCTGACTGTGAATGGGTTGTTGTATGTCTGCTGGTTAAAATAGTTTCTCTCTTACACAGAAATACTCCACTGTAACCATTTTCCATGGTTAATAGGGCTGAATATGGTCCTATGGGACAGCCTTGCATGACTGCACTCTTACACTGTTGTTTCAATAAATTCTGGAGATGGGTGATGGATTGGATAATGACATGTCTGTGGATTTCATTATACTATACCCGATATCCTCTTTTGATAAATCTCGGGGTAAATAGTGATTAGCCATGACTGAGAATAGCTAGTGCGGGAGGTATCTGATCCCCCCCCCCCTCTCCTCATCTACATTACGCAGGGGAAGGTGATCTGTAGTCCACAGAGAGAGAAAATAAGAGAAGTTCATCATTAGTGTTTGCACTTTAAAGCATATCTAAAGAGCATCTTGCCAATCCATAAATGTTGTATATACATTAGTTTTCAGGGTTAATTTAGGCTTTTTTCCCTTATTTTCACCTGTTGATCCTTCTAGTAAAACACTTTCTATCTTTGGGTGGATCCACTGTATAGAGGAGCAATGGTGTCACCCTTCAACACAAGCATTGCCACTCTGTGGAGAGGGTACTGTTAGATGTACATGACTAACAACTTAAAGATAAAGTGCAGCTAATAGTTTTTAGGCACTTACAGAAAAAGTTGTTGTTTTTTTTTTTTCCTTTTTTAGGAAAAAAGTTTTACATAAATGAATAAAAGCTAACCATTGAAAGCACCCTTGACCGTGATAAATGGTTTGCCTCAACACTCAACTGCCACTTTTGCTGGACAGCTGCTATGTTAAAGCAAGTTGGAAAAA